CCCAATAAGTATCTCTGTTCCCAATTAGAACTGGAAGTGGAGCTGCTTACGAGTGCACAGAGATGATGGTTTGGGTGGCAGCTGCTACTGTGGAGATGGAAATGATCCATTATAAAACAAATACATTGCACTGTATAGAAAAAGGGATTATTGTTTTTAATTTATGTTTCAAAGAGACACTGAAAAGTTGCTTAGCTCCCAATGCATTGTAAACCAAATGTAGCTTATTTAAGGACAAGAATTTGCAGCTATTTTGCTATTTTGGTGAATCAAAACTTGAAAAAGCCCACCATTTTGTAGGATTTGTGAAAATGTGCTTCTTTTGGAGGCAGCAGTTCAATAGCAAGCAGATACAGGAACGACGCTGGCATGGGTGCTCGTTCAGATTCTACCATCACAATCTAAGGACCTTGATAAATAGAGAGGTTGCTGCACTGAGCTGGTAAGCAGAAATAACCATGTTAATTTAATCACTATGAAAGGGACTCTGCCAAGTTAAAAACCATAAATTTTAATTATATGCACACACACATATTTGAATTATAATGTATGCACAATATTTAGCTGTGACACTAGTAATACCATGGTTTACTAAAACGGGAAGGATTCTTAAATAACATATTATTTTTTCATTGGTGATTTTTGTTGATTTGACACTTCTGTTTTGTATAGTTCTCACTAGTTCCTGCATCTCCTACATTAACCATGTGCTACTGCATTTGCAATACTAATCAAAAGGAAATTTATCTACCAGCCTTCTTAAAAATTTTATATAAAAGAGTAAGCTTTTATTTATAGTGCCTTTACTAGTAGTTATTACTTGTAATAAAGATTATGTTCTCTGATATTGCAACGTTTGAAGAAGAGCTTGTGATACAAACTAGAAGTTACAATAGAAAGAATTTAGGACAATTAGTGGGTAGCAAATGTTATTACCTATATTTTAAAAGGATTTGGATGTGATTCAAAGACCCATAAATTCTACATGACCATCTGAGAAATTGATTGAAACAATAATTGGGTATAATCAGGAAAGCACCTGGGAAATGATGATATAGGAGGTTCTAACCAACGACTTTTTTTTTCCTACCAAGGAAAAACATGTCTCACTACTTTCTTAAAATTCTATATATGATAATGAAATAACTAATAGGTAGGGGGGTTTGATGATTTTCTTAGACTTTCTGAAGACCTTTGGTATGTAATAGGCCTACAAAGAGAAACAAAGCACTATCTTGGGTCAAAACTTTCAGAATAAAAGATAATGAAAGAAAGAAATTTCATTATAGATAAAGGCTAACATCTGGTGCATTGACGTTTAGTGCTTGGTCCAGTGTTGTGTAATGTATTAATGAACAAGCTGGAGAGTTGCAATACCTTGTAAACTACAAAGATTTGCACATACTACAAAGTTATTTAGAGTGATTGTGGCTGGGGAGGTCTGTACTGGCCTCCTCGGGGAGATGTGAATGTGCTTGGTGAGTGAGCAGAGGGATGGGCATTTTAATACAATACCTGCGTGTTTGAATGTATTCTTTATGGGAGTTCTTGTTTCCATTACAAGGTTCCTAATTCTTCTGCTTAGTATGCAGCTTGGACATTGAAAGACACAGCCTGAGGAGTAATCTAAAGAATATTATAATTAATTTGTTTAAATGGGATATGTGGTTTCTTCTGAAAATGTTGGGTGCAGTCTTGGTCTGTCTTGGGAAGACTAGTGTGTAATAAGAGGAAGTTCAGAGAGGTTTGTCAGGACCATATGGAAAGCTTCCCACAGCAGAGTCATAGAAAAATTGTGACTGTTTATCCTCGAAAGGAGAGGAATAAAAAGAAATATCAAAAAACCTAGAAGAGTATCCCTCTGGCCTTGTTTGAAGCTTCTGGCACTGGCTGTTACTTTCATAATCAGGACAGTGAGTGGAACAGACCCCACTTTACTTCCAAACAGCAGTTCTCATGATCTGGGGGAAGCCTTGATCTTTCACATGAAAACTACATTTCAGGTGTTGAGTTGGCTTCTCAGTTTTATTTAGGGTACAGGCATAAGAGAAAAAGATACTTTTCTTACTTTTTTGGGAAAATCCTGGAGAGTTAAATACAGAAGAGAAAATAAGAGATTTTGTGAAATGAATTTAATGATCCCTTGTAGTGTTTAACTATTTCTGTAGATTAACTGAACTATATTTTAAATTTTTTAAGACTTTCATCTCTGGGGATTCAAAAACTGGTTTGGAAACAGAACTCCCTGTCTTCATTACTGTATCCTTTACAGACTAGCCATCTTCCAGGAAAGACTTAATTCATTACAAAGATTGAATTCATTACTAAGGGGTTGTCTTTGGACCTCTGAAAGTTTTTATAGTATAAACTTTACATTCAGATGAGATAGCCTCTGCCATTTCCCACTTTTCTAGAGTTATTTAGGAGCAAAATGGATTCATAGATGCTACCAGTGCAGAAGAAAATGAAGGAGTTGAATGGCAGTCAGCTTAGTGGGCAAATGGGAGGCAGCTACACTGAGTTTATTTTTGCCGTATTCCTTACTCACTAACTTAACTTCTTGGTGACTCAATCTCCCCATCAGTAAACCAAATAAAAATATTACCTTACAACGCCTTGTCAGTGGGATGTTAAATTTAGTAATTAGAAAAAGCTCTGAGAGTTTTGGATGAAAAGTCCTCTTGGAGTGTTGCTGTTGGGAAGTAGCAGCAGCACACAGAACAAACATGCCTATTAAAGACAGCTGCCCGTTTTTGACCTTAAAACCTACCTTTCCCTCTTATCAAACTTAATGTTCAATATCTCTGGAACAAACAGGGAGTAACGTTACCTTTTTATACGTTCTACTTATCCCTCAGCCCTTCCTTGCTCATTTCCTTTTCTAATGAATTCATTTGCTGTATGTATTGGTATCCAGAGACAGATATAGTTTGTCACAGTGAAGACATGTTTGTTTCCAATGCCCTTGAGCTTCCTTGAAGCTTCTTCACTTGCTGAATGTATGATGACCCCTTGGGTTTTGCAGTCCCACAAGGAAATACCGAGCAAATGCCCCTTTGCACCCCAGAACAGGACTTTGAAACCAAGCCAAACCCACAGCCAGAGATGATTATGGAGATTCCTTAGTGACTTCAGATTCAAGTGTTGGGATTTGCACATAAATCAAGTCAAAAATGCCTTCTTTCTATTGAAATGTCTGGATCCAGAGGGGGGTACTAGTAGTTCAACAGGGAAATTCAATCTGTATGATTCTCTTTTGACTTCTCTGTCTTTTTTATAGCTCAAGTAAGGGAGAAGTTGGGGAAGAGGCCATAATGGGGTGGGTGTGTAGAGCTTAATGCTGAAAACAGAGGCCTAAATGAATAGAGCTCCTTGTGATGAGAAGGAGAATCAATTCACAGTTGATCCCATCCCATTGTGTGGGTTGTCCTGGGAGTTTCCTTTAAAATCCCAGTGATTTGGGTTTTCTGCATACTTTGTAGTCAGCCTTTCCCTCCATGAATAGAAGAGCTTTTCCTGGAATTTTTGCTGGATTTTCTGTGGTTATTGGCTGAGCAGTGCTCTCTCACTTCAGAAGACTGGAGCAAGCATGTTGTGGAAGCACTGATCAGGGACCCTGAATCATTTGCTGGCTAAGAGTTTTTCGTATATAGAACAAACATATTCCTGGGATGCAATTACCCCCAAGAAACAGATTATATTTTACTGTCTCAGGTGGAAGTGTTCGTTCATTATTTGGATTGTGGGAGTGATTTGGGACTTTAAAATCACATGAATTTCTGCCCTGCAGAATTTACAACTCATGGCGATAGAAAGACAGGGAGCTTCAGGCATATTGGGGAACAAAACACAGTCCTAAAGGATGAGAAGTGGACAGACCTGTGAAATAAGGACACCAGATGCTGATTTGTGAGCATCAGTCCTGTACATTATTATTTGTAAATATATTGGCCTAGAGGAAGGAACTCATTGTAGAAGAGAGGGAGTAATTGAGAAGTCCATACCTGGCATTGCTAGCTAAAGAGATGTGCAGGATGTCTCCCTGCCGTAGGGTTGTTCTGAATGAATCCCTGCATGAGTGGAGTAGAGGCCAGGATCTACAAGGAAAACTGAGTTATTCACTAGGTGTATTTTAACTCTTTGCTAAAATTAACGTGCTGTATTTGCCTGTCTGCTGTGTCATAATCTACTAGCAGCATTTGAAAGGGAAATAAGGCTCTGTTACTTTGCTTGTACAGCAAGTTGTATCAAACTTTCTCGTAAACCTGGAGTTTTTGGAGCCCAGTGCCTTCAGCCTGGTCCTGAGCCAGCCTTTAGCTCTTCCTGCAGTGATTGGGTGGTGTCCTATTTTATGGGCAACTTTGCTGACTGCATTTCTTCACTGGTGTAGGCCCATTTTAAGCCAACTGGAGATTTTATCTAGTCAATATTACATGAAGATTCAAGACATATCCCTTTGTTTTTCTACATAAGTTCTCAGCATTGGCCACACATACAAGCTTTCTGCTTTCCCACATGTGGAACATGCCCTGGTATGGAAGAATGAGGGTTGAAGCTATGCTGTATAAATTGTGCCAGATGCTAACTTGCATTAAACTCTTTTCTTCTTCATGAGATCAGATTCTTTATATTATTTTATTTCAGTATCTTAGAAAGATACTGAAATAGTTTATTTTTTTTTTTTATTCTTTCTTTGAAGCATAGGGAGTTTACACAAAGGAGAAGGATTCCCCCACCCCCCATTTATTTCCTCCTGATACAGTATGTCCAACCTTTTTTTTTCCTGTAAGCAAGCATAGCAATTGAAAAGATATCAGGTTTTCAGTAAGATAGAAGTGAATACTATATGGAGATCCTTAGTGGTTAAACAAACTTGAAGAACTCTCCTTCAAGACAGAAAAAAGCTTGAAAGTCTGTTAGTTGTCTGCTTGACATCTCTGTCCTTCTGCCTGTTAGCTCTTTGGGGGAGACACATACAGTGAGTGTGTTTTGTTTTTCAGAAGTTGATCTGCCTTTGAAAAAAGATGGGTTCACCTCAGAAAGTACAACTCTGGAAGCCTTGCTGCGTGGAGAGGGAATAGAGAAAAAAACAGACACTAAAGAGGAAGACACTATACAAGAAATCCAGGTAAAGGAGAGCGCCCTGCTCTGACATCAGGGCTCGATTTTACTTTTTGTCTCTAAGTCTAGCAGTCTTTTGTCCTGTGGCAGAACAGTGCATATGTTGATAGTTGTGTTATTCTACTGCCAAATCTTTGTGCTACTCTGTGATGCTCAAAATGAACTCAGGATCTCATATACTTCTCCTGTCACAAGAATCTCTGTTGCTTGACTCTGTCTGCACGGCATTTTTGTTGGAATTTGTTTTGGAGCACTATGAGATAATTACATAATAAACTGACAAGCAGAAATGGGTCCCAAATATAAACTGAATTTTAGTGCCTCACATTTGAAGTGAATTTGAACATGGATTTGAATTTGGATTCACAGCTGCTGACTGTAAACAAAAACATGTCATTGCCTTCCCTGTTTTGTGGGTTTTTTGTTGGTTTTTTTGGAGTCAGTTTTTTGGGGAGTTTTTGTTTGTTTGTTTGTTTTTGTTTTGTTTTTTTGTTTGTTTTTTCAATACTAAGTAGTCTTCTGGAGGTATACAAGAAAAATAAATAATTAAAAATCTCTTAACCTTAATTATCTTAGTTATTAGTGATGCAGGTATGAGAAATATTGCCTCTTCACACACATTATGGTTTGAAAGTTATTTGTCAACATTCCATTCCATCCTTCAACAATTAGAAGTAGAAATACAATTGTAGGTCTGTCATAGAAGGAATTCAGCTAATATAAAGGGTTCTTATATAAGTCCACATCACTTTTAAAGATATCTTAAATCACTAGGAAAATGATTTAAGGGTCTCTCCCGCAGCAGCATGTCTTTGGTGATGCTAAACTACCATTGTGCTATGAGTCTTTTATAGGGATTTTTGTGAGAGTTATTAGCAATGTGCCAACCTTGGTAATTTTGGCTGAAGTACAACGTGTTGCATCTACACCTAAAACTACTGAAAATTTGTGGGGGCAGTCCCGTGCCAAATGAAACAAGAGCATGGGCAACAAATCTGTATTACTTGGAGCTCAGTCCTACTGCTTGATTTGCTAGAAATTTTACACATGTAGGGGCAGCAAAATTAGCTCTCCCCTTCCCAGTTACACCAGTAAAGGAGATCCACCAAAGAGGAAGCACCCCATGCTCATGGAGTGGGGAAAAGCTTGGCATGAGGCCTTCTCTGTGTTTGCTTCTTCAGTAGTGTATCTGCATCTATCAAGCTGAGAGCTCTAACCAAAGATCTGTTTATACCTGCTTCCTAGGCCACAAAAAGTCATGGTGCAGCATCCTTATGAGATTGTACAAGCCCCTTTGAATGTTGCTGTGTGATCTGAGCTTCCAAATTATCCCCAGCAGCAGTCCAAGGAAAGAGACTTCAGAGATGGTGGAACTGACATAAATCCAGGCATTGCAGAGCAGGGAGGGGGTACAAAAAAAATAAAATTAAAAAAAAAAATCAGCTAAACTAACAGCTGTGACCTGTCCACCTGGGTTCTAGTTTCATCAGAACAGATGCAAAAAGCATGTCTTGCTGCTTTTTTTAATGCAAACACAACTTATCTGGATTCAGTTCTATAGAACAACGATTGCCAAAGCCTTTACTAGTAGCCAGCTTTCAGTGTGTATTTTGGCACCTGGCAACTAGACTGTACCAGATCAAAATCACAATCAGTGCTTTTATCGGTATGACAAATAAGAGAACACAAATCTCTCTTTTGTTCCTTTGCATATTTGTCTGTGCTGCAACTTTAAAGGGCCCAGCCTCAGTGGTGGTGAGAGTGAGCAGGTGGGATAGACATAATTGTAATTCCCACATCAAACCCAGCCACTCTCACATTCGTAGTATCTGTCAGGAGAAGACAACTTGGTGCTTAGCTGCACTAAAGTACACAGTTTTAGACAGAATTGGAAAAGTTACTTTGCTAAAAAGGATAAGTGTTCCTCCCCCCCCGCCCCCCCCCTTCCCACTAAATAGGTGCAGTCATTGGGACCTCCTGTACAGTTGGTATTTAATGAGGTTGAGGATTTTGCCCTACAGTAAATTGGTATTGAATGTGTGTCTCCATTGTTTGCTGGAGAAGGGTTAGAATAGCCTTTTCACCATGCATCAGAAAAGTTATGCCTCTTCAATCAAGTATTAGAGTCATGGCAGTCTGGCAGTCTCACCACATTCACACTTCATTACTTATCATCTCTTTCCTAAATTGGTCCTTCGATTTTAAAGGAAGAAAGTGGTTTGTAATATTTTTCTTAACTCTTGTGTAGTATTATTGCTGTAAACTAGCTTCTTTCCCTCCCACATATGATGTGGTTGCCCCTGGTTTTTTTTTCTGAGATACTTTAAGGTAGGAAGCAATGTAAAAATACAAACTCATATCAGTAAGTTTGCTTATTTTCTTACATACATATTTGCCTATTTTCTTACATACATTCTTAAATTTCTTACAGTCTCCTCATGTACAACGTTTTTCAAGTGCTTCAGTTTCCTAAGAGGAAGTCGATTAATGTATGCAATTATATGAATTTTGAAGGAACATTTTATGTGTTCAGAACTGGAACCTGCTTAACTTTTACACCCCCTAGTATTATGTACTGTAGTATTATGTGAAATTGTACGGTTTGACCTCATTAATAGCCTCCTGAGATTTAAAAATAAAAGAAGCAAAAATCAGATGAAGACTTGATCCTTTACCATGTTCTAAAAGTTGTTAGTACTTTAAAAAAAATGCACTGACCAATATTAGTATTAGAAATTCAGCTGATCAGATAAGAACAAACTTTTATAGTTGGTCTTCCGAATACAGAATTTTTGAAAAGTGAAATTTCTGTTGTATTCTTTCCCACAAATTCAGAATTTGGTGCTTGAGGTATGTAGAAAGGAGAGAAAGAAACTGTGATGTACTCCTTTTCTCCTTCTTCTGGCTCTCAAATATCTCTGAAGTAGAAATTAGAGAGAAGGGACAAATACAGTAAGACTGAAAAACCTGCCCATCAGTTTAATGTCACTGATTTGAATCTGCGTCATGGCTGCAGGTTGCAAGTTAAATGAATGTTGGCATGGCAAAGGTAAGTTAGTGATTCCAGATTAGCACCTTGGAAAATGGCACAACACCATGAATGGCAGGAGTGGCTGCTGCCCGTTTCTGTATTCCTAGCAGACATGCCGAGGGTTGAGGGGATTTCAATGGGACCTCTTCCAACATTAGTGTTGTGATGATTTGTCTTGCCTTTGTCTGTGCAATGTCTGACTTGTGCATGTTTTCATGCAGGATGGCCAGCCTGTGTTTGGTTCTATAGAGATTACATTTCAAAATATCAAATTAAAAGGATTGAAATACCATGGCCCAGGAATCTCACAGTTATATTAGCTGATGAAGTGTTGTTCCTGTTAAATAATTAGTAGAACAAAATATTGCTATTGGTCTTGTTAACTTCAGTGAGACCTGTAATTTCCCAGCATTCTCATGCAGCAACCCTCCTCCTTCTAGATTAGAATTGTACCTGTAGTGCAAGCCTTGAAAGACATTGCTTTCTAGATCCATTCTGGAATATATGGAGAAATTTTCTCTATTTTTTCTAAAGAAAGAAGATTGTGGGATACTGAGGAGAAAAACGCAGAATTTTTGTATTCTTAAAGTGCATTCTCAAAGTTAAGGAAAACAAGACAATTTAAGGTGCAAGAAATGAAAATAAAAAGCCCATGCAAATAGGTTCCCAGGCAGGGCCTGCAGTTACACATACTAATACTTGTCTTGGGATATTGGTGCTCAGTGATGCCACTCTTTTTTCCTAGGAACCTTTTTTTCATAGTTGACTGATATCAGTAGTATTTTTAGTAAGAACTCCCTGGAGATCTGAGGGTGGAAAAGAAAAGCGAATTTTGCTTTAGTGGAGAGAAGTAGTGGTACTGGGATCTGATTTGGCATTATATCAACTGTAATAACCCACAGTCTCTGGGATGAAGAGCAGAAGTTGGTTGTATGTGTCCTCCTCTCCTCTTCTAACCATTCCTGTTTATTGTTCAACCACAGAGGGTTTTAGAAAATGATGAAAATGCAGATGAAGTGAATGAGGAAGAAGATTTGGAAGAAGATATTCCAAAACGAAAGAACAGGCCTAGAGGACGGGTAGGTGGAGAGTTTATTGGAATGGAAAGGAAGGAAGCAAACCTCTGCTTTCTAGTGTATATTTGTTATGTGTATTATATATGCAAAATGTGTATCAATAAATATATAATATTGATAATACTATAGTAATTTTCAGTTGTATGGTGATAGATTTTTAATATTTTTTCAGTTTATTTTTGTGAATATCCAAGGCAAAAAAGACTACCTTGAGAGTAAAAAGTGAGGGAAGTTTATTTTAGTGCTGTGTTTACAATTGTAAACTGTAATAATTACGATAACATCCTGCTATTACAATGCTCCTTAAAACAACATTTACTAATTACAGAAAAGCAACAAATTCAGTCATGACAGCCAAAAATGTATTAGTAAAAGTAACTTGAATTATGTTAATAAGTTTTGCAGCTTTCTCTAGGGTAGCATTTTGTGGCTGACGCTGACCCTCTTGAGCCCACGGCAAATCTTCTATTTGCTTAAAATGGGCAATATTTTATCCTTAGGGGACTGTGTGTCCCTTCTTTTACCTAAGTTGTCTTCACAATTCATCAGGATACCAGTCAAGTAATGAGGCCAACATTTTAAAACTTGGAATCAACATTTTCAATTTTGGCCCTATGAGCCAGGCATCTAAATGAACACAATTCTCAGAAGTTTTGAGCATTTTCATCTCTCTTTGGCTCCAGTGGATGCTACAGGGGCACAGGAGCTCTAGATATACCTTTCGATGTGTTTATAGAAATCAAGCAAGAAGGGCCACATTTTAGGCCAAATGAGCAGAAAATAATGGCTTTTGAATGAGAGACATGAAACCACAATGAATACTAGAAATATACTTATGCATCAGACCCTCTCTTTTGGTTTCTTCTGTTGTTGTGTTGTTTCAGTTTTCTGCTCCTCTTTATTTTGGAGCTTAAGTCCTTAAATATAAGATCAAAGCACTTTAATAATTGGATAAGTATATATTTCACCTTCCTTATTCTCAAAATCACCTGAACCAGTTTCTTTCTTTCTTTCTTTCTTAGCCAAAGACCCCCACCTGGAAAAAAATTTTCCAGAAAAATGTAAGTTTCAGAAAATTTGTATGAACCAGTAACCAAAACCAGGAGATAGAATCAATACATGCACACAAGCTTGATTGTAGTGATCAACTAATATTCCAGGCTAACAATTCTTTTCTAATAAGTTACTCTTACATAAATTGCGCATGCTGGTTAGGGTGAGTGAAAGGAAGTGAATAGCTAAAAGAGATATACTGCTCAGGAGAAGGGAATTTGGTGTATTCATATGTCCTAGACCTACACAAAGTCCTGAAGTTACTGTTGCTTCTCCATTCAGGCAAATGTTACAGAATAACTATAGTTACAGAATATTACTGTAGTGGAGAGAGTCAGAGGGTGCTAGATGTCCCATTCATGTTGAAGCAAAAATTTATGTGTTATTTTCTGCCCCAGAACCGGACCCCTATTAAGTACAGGAGCAGCAGGATCTTTTGCCTTTTTCTTGCAACTAACTCCTGCTTTGCTAGTGCCCTGGCTTCTTTCAGTGCAAAAAAGAGAAGTCTGAAGAGTGCTAAATACTTTGAGCAATTTTTGTTTTTTATTTGATGGCATCAATAACCATAGCAAAATGGGATAAAAATTAGGATTTCAAAATTAGGGCCAAGTTACCTAGATGTTGAAAACTGGCAAGCCTGAATTGTCTGGCCACAAGGGTTTCACCACCTTTCTGAAAGCAGCCCTTTTTTAATGTGAGCCTGATCCAGTATAGGGAATTGAGGTTAGGGATTTGAAATTAGGGGACATGAAACCTGGGCAGCTCTTTTGTTTCTGGGAAGGAGTGGTTAAAGTATTTTTAGAGGGCAGAAGAGGGGAAGGACATGCATAGGAAACTAGATCCTCTCAAGTGTGACCTTTGGGGATTCTGAGAAGGAGTGACAGCATCAATGCAGGATTAATGCGGTGGAATTACTGCTTTGGACTTTCCAAATTGCACATGCCCCTTCTTTTCCCTGCAGCATGATTTTATTTTTAATCCTGGACTCTCCATCTGTCCCTTTGGCTACTCTCTCTGGCTGCTTCAGGGCTGCTTCAAGGCTGCTGTGCCCTGGCTTCCAGGCCTCGCATGTCAAGTCTTGTAGTCTTTGCTGCATCCCATCAGGAGAATGAAGACAGTCATGGATAACTGAATTCAACAGCCTGGGGCACTGACAGCAAGCATGGGGCACTCATTTTAGTGCCTCTGGGGCAGCTGCTTGGTTTCCTTTCCCCTCAAGGCTAGCTCTGAAATCGTCGGGGCATTAGGAAGGACACTGAGGGCCAAAGAGGTGGATTTACGAAGGCAGATTTTTAGTATCTTTGCTGGACTGGGACATTGTGGTAGGAGCTGGAAAGGGTAGTTTGCTAGGAGATATGAGATGGATGCAGCTGCACCTGTACAGATTGTCTGCTCGTCAGCTGGATATCCCATGGGACAGTTTCAAAGGCACTAAAGACATTTAGGAACATAAGTCCCATTGAAAGTCACTGACTTGAAAAATCTCCCCCTGTGTTCACTGCATGAAAAAGTGTATCTGACATGTGGTCATGACATGAATGGTGTACTCCTGCATTTGTGTAGAGAACAGTTTGAAGGGAAACAGCTGGCTGTAAGACTAATAAAACTCTGAGCAACAAACCTTAAATTGCTGTCCTATTCTGAAAGGTACCTATGTGAAAATAGTACCTTCTTACTCAACAGATACGTTCCCAGTGTGTAAATGGAGTCAGAGCTACTGACTAGTGACAAATATATGACTTTACATCTTTTTCACAGCCCTGAAAAGCCAATGCAGCTGGTAGGATAGGGAAATCAGATCCTAATCCAGGTACCAGCAGAAATATTTATTAAGGGCCAAAAACTTGTCTCTGTGAAGACTCTCTGATGAATTGAGGCTTGTATAGGAGCTACCATGGACTGAAATTTAGCTTGCAACACATTTTTGCAGCAGTCAGGGAAGAAAGGAACTAGCCTGGGATTGATTTCATTGCCCAGAGGGGGTTTACAGAGCTGGCAGTCAGAGAGAAAATACTGCAGACTAGTAAGATGATTTTATGTGATATGGTCAGTAAAGTAGCTTCCACCAAACAATTGTTGCTGGGGCCTTTTCCAGGGTGAAACTGCTTTTCAGTTCACCCTTACAAATCTTGCTCTGCACATGTGTGCTGGTCTGCACAGAGGTCTTTGCAGAAGGCAGAGTTATACTTGTCATACCTAATAGTATTTACCCCATCCAGACAGCTGCAAATCCATGTCTTTCCTTCAGGACTTTGTTAAGAGTTAGCCCTAAGCAATCCCAGGGAAATAATGTGTGAAGGTTTTATAAATCCCTGTTTTGACAGACTTTGTCAGGCCAGCGTAAAATATTTCCTTGTTCCTTGTCTTTAATGTCCAATGGAACGCAGCTCTAACAGTGCTAGTTCTGTTCCAAATGCGTAGAAGAGGGACAGAGTTTTTACACCCCCTTTATGTCTGGGTACTAATGCTCTCAGAGTTTCTACACCTTCTTAAGCTTTACCTAACAAAGCTCTGTCCCTTTCTTATTTTCACATGCAAAAGCTTGTAGGATTTCAGTCAAGTAGGCTTGTCTAGAGTGAGGAGTATCAACAGTTTAATAACAGAAGCAGCAGAAGCAATTCTGTGCTTTTATCCAGGAATAGAGTAGCTACAAGAATTAATAAAGGGCTAGTTAGCCATCCACCTGTGATCACTTCCTCAAAGACCAAGTCTAAAATGATTGTCATTTATAGACTGTACATTAGTGAACATGAAAGAATTGAAGGCCTTGGCCAGTTCCCAGTTTCACATCACAGATCTCTCCACCACTGGACAGATATGAGCTGTCCCCTTGTTGGCATCTCAGCTGAGAAGGGTCAGGACCAAGTAGCTTTGATGCTGAATTCCACTCTCACCCCTGGAGGTCAAGACAGAGAAGTCTGTGTTGTGGAGAAACAGAGATTTTCTATTTCCAGAGCTGCCAGTCTGGTCCACTGTAGAAACACAGAGCTGCAGAAGGACCTTTCTGGGTAATTCCTGTTATTGCAGGTAGCCAGGTAGCCATGTTACCTGATTTTTTCCACTAATGTACCAAAGCTCAATATTATAATTAGCCATGGTATCTTTGTCCCAGCAGGTCATTTCAAAACATTGCTTTTCAGCTAGAAAACAAAACTCAACAACACAATCAACTCCCTTTTGAAAATATTAAAGGAAATAATTTGACCTCTTTTATCTGGGGCCTGTTTTCTGGCTGATTTAATGTTTGTATTTATCCTCCAACACCTGTTCATCTATTCATTCATTCATATTCAGTTAAGCAAGGTATTTGAACATCTTCAAAAATGAATGTGTGACGATACTCGACTGAATATGTGCTGGCAGTGACCTACTGCCATGGATGAACAGTTTGGGCTATCTGTGGAGAGGATCTCCATTGCATTGCAAGGTCCATTAACATAGTGTGTATCTTAGGAGGTGAAGGGTCAAGATCACCTTTGAGAAACCCGTATGGAAGCTGAGGATTTGTTTAGTTTATATTGCACATTTTTCATAGGAGGGTGAGGGGCACAAGGAGACCCGAGGGGTGATTGAATATTGCTAACATTCCTCTTGTCCTTGCAGGCTCGGGGATCTGGAGGTGGCAGGAGACGGAATGATGCTGCCTCCCAGGATGATCACGACAAACCCTATGTTTGTGACAGTAAGTAGCACCCAGACAGCTGATTCTGCTTCCAGCCTGGTCCTACCAACTCAGTGCACTCAGGGCTTCATCTTTTCCCTTCCAGCAAAATATTCTGCTGCTCTCTGACTTGCATGTTTGCCACCTGCTGCTGCTGCTGCTCTTGGTGTTTTTGCATGAAGGAAATAAAATTAAGTCCTCAGCAAGACTCCACTTCCCTTTGCCCTTTAATAAATCATCTCTTACATTTTCTTTCTCCTTCTCTTTTTCTGGCTTCTCTGCCTTTTGTCTTCTTTCCCCCCATGTAAGTTTCACCCTCTATTTCTTTCTCTGTTTCAGATAGTTACAAACAAAAGCATAACTCAAAAATCTCCGACAAAGGTACTTCACCCTCATTGTATCTCTTGATATATTTGGTGATTCTCTTTCCTTCAGTCCTTTTAAAATCTCGCTGGGCTAAATTCTGAAGGTCTTATTCTTATCCCTCACTCAGAAAGTACTCTTGTGGCATCATTAAAAGTTGAACCCTTCTAAGAAACAAATAACATCTGGAATGCCTTGTTTTGATACATATTCCCCTTGAATATGTATGTTGGCCATACTGGCCATGCTGTTTGACATCTTGCAGTTGGACTGCAGGCTAAGTAAGGCATTGTCCCAACTGAAAAATTATACTAGAGCCCAATGCTGACACTGAAGGAGGATACCAGAGTCCTAGCAAGAGGGAAGAATCTGATATTTGTTACACAATGGTTTGAGGTTTTTAAATAGTCTAGTCCTTGGTGCTTTCCTTCTTTTGATACTCTTTTTTTGCTTCACTATGTTATTTCTTTGAGGGGCACTTATCTTACCCACATGTGGGGTTTTTTTTAAGCATCCCATTTTAAGGCTTACTGTAGAGTGTACATGCAATTGTACTTTGTGCTACCAGGTGCCTTCTGGCCTATAAGAAAATATCCTAACAAAACTTAATAGCAGTAGGAGAATAGTAGGAGATCTTAACTTCTGTCATCCAAAACTGATGGTTTTAAGGACAACTAGCATCCCCCTTTTTCTACTATTTGCCTATCTTGTGTTACTGACCTTAAATGAATAACCTTTACTATGTCGATCTATGGGGATATTTTCTGCTTATTTTCAAAAACATGAAGAAATAAGGAGCATGCGTGGTAAATAGGAACTATATTACATGTGATGCAATCATATTCTTGTATGGTGAGACCAGGTGACTGCACCATACGGTGATGGATATGTTAGGTATTTTGCTTCAGCAAGGTGAATATTTCAAGGGCAGTGAGCAGAAATGGAAAGACTTGCACATGAATAGGACTGTCTAAACCCTTTAAAATATGAAGAGTCAGAAGATTTATGCTGGGGTTAAATAGCTGTCCTGGCTGGTGTGTTGGAAGCACTAAAATGTGTCTTCTAAAACTTCTCTGAGAGCCCAGGATGTATCTTGCTGAAACCCACAGGTTTCCTTTGCTGGTATATGCATAACTTTCTTTATCTCTTTTCTGGAACATCCTTCTAAATCCAAGGACACTTGTCAGTGGTAATAATTTTGAACATAATGACTCTTTATTGTCTGATCTTGCATTGCTTTTGGATTTTACCAAGAACTTACAACATGCATAGTAGTGATTTGCATAGAGTAAATTAAACATTGAAGGTATCAAAGCAGGCAGCAGAAATCTAGCCTGAAGTCAAGACTCTCATACATTGTTGTATTGATGGAATTTTGCCTTGGCTTACATTTTGGAGCATAAATTTACCCTTTGGTTTTGGAAATATAAACTTTCCTATTTCATTTGGCTGATACATTTCATTTTTAGGAAACTTAGAGTCATAGGGAGCTCTGGAATGCAGACTTTGCACAGTGACTCCTCCTTTTCCATTGTAGATAGCTGAAAAAAGGGTTATGTGATAGCAGAACTCTTTTACCTGACTGTGGAGCGGAAGGAAAGAACTGTCCCAATTGTTATGTCATCATCCCAAAGTAATATCCTGTCCTTGCTAACTTTCTATAGAAATATTACACACAGTTAATGATGAATAATAAGCCAATTGGCTTATTATTGAAACCTCTTTTCTACTTGGGTGGATTTCTTAAATAAATTTTTTCTTTGAAATTATTTGCTAAATATTTTTATAGATAAAACTCAGTCTAATTGTGGTAGGTTAGAAATTGGTTTGCAGAACTCCATGTACAGATCTTTTGGGCAGATAGGTTTGTTTTACCTGGAAACATGCAGGTGAAAAACAGTGAATGTATTCCCTGTTTGGAAAACTTGATTCCTTCAATCATATTATTGGTATAAATAATTACCTTAATGGGTCAGCAGTTTACTTTTTCTGTATATTATTTAATTTGCCTCCAAGTTGCTTTTTCTGCAAGTATTCTGATATTTGAGTTTTGAAAATGACCACAACGAAGAAAGCATAAACATAGTAAACCAAATTAATTTTCATATTAAACTAGATGGGCACAAAAAATGATTGGTGGTGAAGAACTTCTGTTGACTTACACATTCATATTTATGTGAAACAAGAATGTATCACCAGGTTTTATTGGTAATAAAAAAGTTACAGGAAAAAAATAGTCTGTGTGTCAGTGAGATGATGCAATACCCAGCTGACACTGCCCCTTGTGTTTGAAGATAGCAATGCTATTTGTGAAAAAAAATGCCTTTTTTTAAAAGAGGGATTCAGCTATACACCAGTATAAAACTGAATAAAAGTACAGAATTTCTATATGGAAGAAGATTTTCAAAGCTCAAAATGTTTTGTCATCCTGTGTTTTTTTTAAAAAGTGGTTGGTTTCTTATTTTGTGGACTGAAATATTCTGAAATACGTCAGTTGATTTTATTGAGCATATACTGTATGAGAAGTTCAGAATAAAATGTTTGACCAAAGCATCAATAAGATTGCTAGAACAATCACGAAAATCATCGTTTCATCAAATCACCAAGTCGAAAACTTGTTGGTCAGATTTTCAACCAGGTGCAGTGGATAGTGTTGTACCTTGAGCTGCCTTGGGATAAATGCTTCAATCATGAAAGTGGCAGGACAGCCTAATGTGAAATGGGTATGGGCTGGAAATGGTACCATAACCAAATGACTCAGCTATATGAGACCAGTCCCAAACATAGCTTGAACACCTGACTGGGACATACAGCAGGTGACTCAAAAGACAGTGAAAAGTAGGACTTGAGGAGCAAAGTGAAGCCTCCAATGTCAAGCAAGAGAAGTGGAAGATACACCACCCCCACTGTTCATGATAAACTGGGCATGTGATTTTTGAAGGAGGGACAGAGTAAATGAATCAATGAATGAATGAATAACTACATGTCTAATAAGAATTGATGCTATGTCAAATATTCATCTGGGGAACCATTATTTCTACTATTTTCATAGTGTATATTATATATTATTTACTACTTTTCAAAAAGAACAACCTTCTCTGAAGTTTTTTTCTAAAAACTTGTGCTCTGGTTTAAAAGTTGCAATCAGTTGTATCTCCTGAGCTTCATGACTTCAAATGTCTACTTCCTTTAGCCAGAGCAGTTAGTTTGTGCTGAATCTCTGCAAGTTATTAACTTTCCTGCTATCCCTCCTCATTTATCTGCTTTCATTCTTCTCAAGTTCCCATGGAGACATGGGACTATATCCACCTTTGTTTTCTGTCCCTCTATCTATGGAAGATTTCCCTTGCCCATCTCTAAAAGGAATTGTTTCTTTCTTCTCCTTTTACCAATATGTCCTTGTCTCCTTTTAGTTTTATTCCCATATAAACTTCTATTTTAGCATAGCAACTTATATTTGTATTGTATCTTTTTTTCACAGTCCGTCTGAGTCTGAGCTATGCATTCATATCCATTCCCTGTGCAAAATAAGAATTTACTGAAACCTTCCTATGATCTCTGATGGATCAGTGACTAATGCAACACTGTATGTACCCAGAGACACTGATCCTGTAGTGTTTTATAGAAGCTGATTCTTTTGTCAAGAACTTAATTTCCAGGTTTCTCTAGTTATTTAACACACATTTTCTCTGCCACAGTCCAAGACTAGCAGTCCTTGCATGGTTCTCTATGGGTAACAATGTCTTCTACTTCTGTAAACAGTTACTGGGACTTCTTCCAGCTGTGTTTTCATCAGCTCTTTTACTAAGCTTGTTTCTTTTATCTGCAAAAACACAAAGGGTGTTTTTTAAGTAGTGGTGGCCAAAACTAAGTTGAATGCACTGTTCTGAGGATACAAGCACTTCAGGAGTGGTTGATACATTTACATGTACTTACAATTACTTAAAGAAATTGGATTTATGCAACTTGCTCTGTTATGTGTCTATGAGAGGTAGAGATGGCTAACCTAACAGGTTGTTTAGTGAAACCTTCTTCAGTGCAAGATGCTCCTCTCCAGTGCTGTGTCATGTTTCAATGGCAAAGGAGTTTTCATCCTTATCCACCATGTGTATTCATATTTAATATACCATTTGCTATAGCTTCTTGTTCTTTCCCTGTTCAACCTGTTTCTACTCAGGCAGATTATCATGTTAAGTCTCCTCATTATGCTGCTTTCTCCTGTTTATACTGTGTTTTATTTATTGATACTAGATGTCAATATTAATTAAATTACTGTTTGAAAGAATTATTTGATCAATGAATCTCATATAATATATTTTTATTATTATTCCAGTATTTTGACCAACAATCCATTCTGTGCATGTTTGATTCTTTCACTCTCTATTCCACCCTTCATATTAATGATAAAACCATAGGCAAGCATTGGGTCCAAACAGGACTCTTTCAGGTGCTTGAAGATGTAGAAAGGTGCCTTTGAAGGTTTCAAAAAATTGAGCTCCTAATTCTCACTGATTTCAGCTGGAGGTAAAACTAAACTGTTTTCCCTAAATAACCCACTAAGTGCCTATCTGCTTGTGTTGTGCCTATAGATCATCTATGGCTTGGTCCCTAAATGAACACTTTGAACTTGTCATTGAATTACTAATAATTATTCAGAACATGGATTTGTTTTTAAAACTGCTTGACTCTACATCCAAATCACTATAGCTTGAAACACCTTCCTGCTTTTTCTGTAAGTTCATCATTCAATGGGGCCTGAAAATGTCATTATTTTGAGATTAGTCTTTTTCTTCCCCATCCCTTTTCTCTACCAAACATATTTTAGGTTCTCCCAGCAAAAGGCTTAAGTGATTCAGGTAGCTTAAGTGATTTAACATTAACAGATTCCACTGAGTTTCAGTTGGTACAGAGCATCCCTCTCTTTTAGTTTCCTTAGAAAATCCCAGTTGAATTGTTACATTGTTCTTGCATGACTTGCCAAATGCAATTCCTTGAGGCCTAATCTTTAGGAACTATTTTATTGTATTTGTTCAAAAAATGACAGCTCTAGTATATTCCTTGCTAACTTCACCTGTCTTCTTTGTCATCTCCTTGAAATGGTCCTGATCCTGTCAAACATGTCATTGATTATCTGGAAGGTTTTCTGGAATACAAGATAAATCCCGATTTAGCTTGATTTTTGCTAGTTGTCTGACACTTAATCCGATGTCTTAATTCTTACAGATATTGTGAATGATTCCAACACTACTAAGTGCTGCTGCTTAGGACAGACCTTTGGTTAAATTTCACAATTTCAAGCTGATTTGAAAATGCCTTTATTATAGCATTGTATTTTTACATGCTTCTCATAATCTCCATCATGACTTCAACTTCCCTTTAAAGTATTAGCAGTTTAAGCCCTAAATCATCTCCTGGTATTATCCTCTCTAGTGAATCCCTAAGTAGTTAAGCAATAAGATCTAGAATAAGATTATTGTTCAGAAGAACCCAACAAATAACTCTCCCACCATAGTTGCTATTCTTGGCTTCCATCGACTTCATTATTGGTAGAAAAGACAAAGTTAGAGAGACAATAACACTTTCTAAATTTTCTTTAAAAAATATTGAATAACACAGATCTTTAGTAGAGCACATGGTAAGAGGGGAACAGAGTTGACTCTGATAGCTGAACATTTTCTTCTCATATAGGATACTTGTTTTCTCCTTTGCTCCTGATAGCAATCCATTTATTGAAATGTGCACAGATGTATTGTTGACCTGTGCATGTTTTGCACTGGGGTTCAACATTACTTTGATCTTAATTCTGCAGATAGATTCTGGGACTTGTCCTCTGGGGGCACTGAAACAAGGACTGTTTACTACCTACAGAAAATTCTCTATAAAATGGATTACTAAATAGCTGCTCTAATACTAGGGATGTATAGCATAGTACTGACCAGAGAGGGACAAACGTAACATCTTTCCATCAGTAGAGGTCAAAATGTACTGTTAGTGTTTGAGGTCTCTAGATGTGCCAGAGCGTGGACACAGCTGTAACAGGGGAGAACATATTACCAAACCAGGACAAAACAAGAAATGTTTTAAATATTTTTTTCTTTTTTGGAGTAGAGTGAATGGTAGGATAGGAAGATAACTTTGAGGAATGACTGCCTGCCAGCAGTTAACTCAAGATTTAGTATTTGATAAAGCCCAGCTGAGAAAAAAGAACGGGAGGCAAAGGAGAAAACCAAAGAAAGACAATGAGGGGGACAGTATTCAGTGACCAAAAAGAAAAAAAAGGCAGCATGTACTCCCCCAGTTTCCTGTTTCCACTGAAAACATGGATTGTTTCCTTCTGTCTCATACTGGTGACAGATTGTGCAAAATGTATGTGGAGAGCTGGCTGGAACATAGCTCACAGGCTGCCAAAGACCAAATGTGTAACAATTTCAAAATGACAGCAACATAGCCATTAGATATTTGATGAGAAAGTCTTTTAAGTCATAGGTTTCAAATCCCCTTTTTAACAGGGGAAGTATATTTGATATTAATTTTATTTACTGAGAAACGTATTTACTGAGAAGCTGAGAAACAGAGTGGGAATTTGCTTATCCAAAGAATTGCAGGCTGTTACAGGCCAGAACTTAGAAGAGAACTGTCTTTTATGGAACACTCAATGCTTGTGATTATACTGTCTGCAAATTATGTTTTTTGTCTATAACACAGTTGTGTAATATCTTCATCTCAGTCTTCAAGTTGGAAGGAAAGTAACGTTCATCATAGGAGTGTCTGGTGGCCTAATAAAATCTCTCCCTCTTCCCCATTTGTGGCATTTGATCCACACTGCTGTATTATTGCTTACTTACCCATCTTGTTCCTAAGATGGCATTCACATCAGGTCATATATTTTCAAGTAGAGTTGAATGAAATGAAGTCTGGCAGGGCTTTTAGAAATATCTTTGGTTTGAAACTCTCTCTAATAGGTGAATGGGACTGGGTGTTAGAGTTATCTGATTTTGCACTTACATTAGCATTAACGGAGGATCAAGCTATATGAGAGCAAGATAGAGTTGGATAGTATGTATCATGCAGATATTTAATTGCAAGTGCTTCTTCCTTTGTCAGTATAGCACTGATCACCTGATAGTGTTCTGGAAATAATCTGACAGAAGTGTTTGAACAGTATTGGTAATTCATAGCAATAGAATAATTTTTTAACTCTTCTTCAAACACACAAAAGTAAGGGGAATAGAGTAGGATACTTAATATGATCCTCAATCTGCTAAAAATGTAAATATCTCTCTCCATTTTAAGAAATGCTGCAACATTTATGTAATTAGAGGAGGTTGCTGGTCTGAAATAATTTAAACAGTTAGCATTTTGTAGCTCTCTCCCGTTTGATGATTACTGTAGTGTTAAGGTTTTTCCACTATTCAAAAAATGGAGACGAAGTCATACAGAACTGTGGCTATCTTGTTTTGACTCTTGGTCAGCATCTGTTCCACTGCTTGTAGGACCACAGAGAAAGAGGAGTAGTTTCACTCTCCAGAATACATTAGGAGAAAACATGGATGGTGGTTAGGAGAAGGGAGACCGAACTAATGTTTTGGGGAGAGCATGCATCTAACAGCAGTCTAGTTGTTCAAAATGCTGGGTAGTAGAGTTAGGTTTACATATGAAACAAGGGCAGAGGCTTCAAAGAATGGATGTGCTTATGTATATGGGTATTTTACTTCTCCTCAACATTCCCTCCTCCCTTCTGCAGGAGTTCTCGTTTCTAAAATCAAAGGCATTCAAAGACAAAAAATCTGTGGCTAAGGACATATTACATTTGAAAAAAACTTTTGTCCTGTTATGACCACTGTGTGATCATCACCTTGCAGAATGAAGAAAACTGGGATAAAAGTATCTAATATTCCAGATATTCATACATATCATGAGGTTATTTTACATGTTTCTAATACAGCAAACTGTTTTCCCTGAGGGAATTTGCAAATCAGCTAGAAGATACTGAGAATGAAATATGTTATTGTACTAAGCTTTGATTTACAATTTTCTATAGTCTGTTCCAGAATGTGGAACATCAGTTGGCTTTTCGTGAGTAGTAGCAGAAAGGTATAAAAATCAAATTTTAACTCATATGTCAGTGAATAATTGATGTGGGTATTTTTTAAAATTTATTTATTTGTGGAGCCTTTTGACGTTCCTTTCCAGACCTTCCCAGACCCAGGTTTTGATACTGGGGCTGAATGAAATTTTTAGGAATGGATGGTGCCTTCCCCCTTGGAGATTCTTTTCAAAGGACCTAAAACCAAAATGGTTCTATTCTCTCTTCTGGCACTACTTCCTTTGACCTTCTAAGCAAGTTATGCAGGACAGACTACTGGACAGGACATTCACTCCTGTGCAAAATCCTTGAGGTTAATGAAGGTAGTAACATGACTGAAAACTTGCAGAAAGGGCACTAAGCTTCGTTTTCCAATCATTTAAAATGGCAATAATCGTATTTGGTAGACAAAACAACTGTATAAAAGAAAATGGACATTCAGAGAATGCTTTGGAGATGAAAAGTGATAACTCTTAGAGAAAATAACATGAATGAAATACTTCATAGAAACTCAGTTTGTATGTAATGAATCTTAAGATGTAGCTTGCCCTTGAGGTGAATTCCCTGTGAAAATGTAGACCTTTCATCACCCTGAGTTGTTTGATCCTGTTCTTAATATTTGTTGACTTAGTCCTAAAATAAACAAAAGTTCAGAAGTAGGATTCTCTGTCACATATTGTATTATTTATTGAGATGCTGAATATGAAGTTTACCTGGGCAAAGAAGTATCACTGCCACATGTTCCTTTAGCAAGAAACTGTGAATTATTTCCATCTCCTTATCTTGACTAGGAATCTGAATAAAGCTATTTATTAACCTTTTAGAGAAAGTTTTTAAAAAACTCCGTTTCCTTTTTTTTCAGAGATCAGTAATGAAGAATGTCCTTTCTTCTCAGTCTTGTTCCCATTGCTGTGCATTGTGCAGCACCAACATTGGAACTGGCATTTCATTAAGTTTTATGTGCAGTCTTGTTAGTAATCTTAGCAGAGAGGATTAGGGCTGTATGAGTTGCAAGGATTGAATGTGCATTTGCCTAGGCCTGTAGGAATGAACTGCTGGCAACAAGGTGGGAAGAAAGCTCTTGTTCAGGGATCTATGGCTGCAGAGCTGCCCTCTGTCATCTTCCACCAGTGCTGGTGGGAAGAGTTTTGGGCAGGCACATGGAGTGTGTGGTGCTGTTCTCAGAGGAAAAGGGAGCATTATTTGAGAGGATGCTGCTATGGTTGTGGATCATACTGATGTTTCCATTTTGTCTTCCCCTCCCTCATCTCTCCTTTCCTCCCAGTCTGTGGCAAGCGCTACAAGAACAGGCCTGGGCTGAGCTACCACTATGCTCACACCCACCTTGCCAGCGAAGAGGGTGATGAAGCCCGTGAGCAGGAGACTCGCTCTTCCCCTGTCCACAGAAATGAAAACCACAAACGTGAGTAGGATTTTCCCTTTACCTTTGAGATCCTTTTCAGGTATGTTGCCTCTACCCTGTCTTTGCCTTGCAGAGGCTGGCATTATTGCCTGGCTCAGTTGTGAGTGATTGGGACCTGGATGCTTGGAGCTAATCAGCCACAGCTCACATGGGTGCTGGCTCAGCAGTCAGAAATTCATTTCAAACCCAGCATTATCTCTGCAGCAAGTCACTTTCCCATTACTGCTCCTGTGGGAAGGAAGTGGCAAGGGGGGGGGGGGGAAGAAGAGATGCCCAACCTGCCCATCATCAAGCAGCCTCCCAGTGGCTCTTAGCAGGGTTGTCAAGGAAATACACATCCAATAGTTTGAGAGGGTTGCCTTTGTTTTGCCTTTGAATAAGAGACATTTGCCAATGTCTCAGATTTTAGGTATGAAACTAACAGCACCTTTGTCCCTTATTCCTTCATCTGCTCCCCAAACAGCTTACCCTCAACTTCACCAGAAGCTGCTTCTTAGTTACAGTTTGGGAAAATCTATGAAACCACATCAGTATTGATCAGCAAGGAGGAGAGCTGGAACATGAGAGGAGGGAAGAGTTATGCGCCTCAATTCCCCATAGTGGTACAAGGCTGAAAGGAATCTTAGTGGACCAAATTTATATATGATGAATCATATGCTCAATGTGAGCATAAAGTCCATCACCCTATTTGACTGTCCTTCCTGTGCTTCTTAGGCAAGGAACAGGAAGTCAAGGAGACTGTGTTCTATTACTGATTTTTCCAAGTCTCTAATCCTCTGTTTCTCAATTTGCCAGTGTGCAATGCTTTGTGATGTTTGCTGTTACCTTGGGAGTTGTGTAGGTAGCTTTGTTCACTTTCAAAAGCATGTGATCTGTATCATTTTCGTTCAAAGTAGTAAAGCAATGAAATGCTTATAGGGAAAATTATTCGGAGAAACAGTTTCTAATATGTTAAGAAGAACTACAAGAAATATGGAAGTAGGAAAACATTTTCTTTCTAAGCAGGATAATTGATAATTGTCCCCAGGGAGGTGTGGGAGGGGGTTTCCTTTCTCCAAAGCATCTGCTACTAGCCACTGTTTGAGCTTGAAGGACTATTTAGTATGATGCCACTTGGCAATCCCTATGTTTCTGTCACTTTTATGCTCTACCTTTTAGTTATTCACATGTTTTGTAGATTCACAGCAAAAGTAATTTTGACTCTTCCAGCTGTTGATAAACTCGAACTGTCAATGCACTAAGAGTGACTGCTTAGGCAGGCTGGGGAATGTCAGTGTTCAGCCAGTAGCATTTGTTTACTTAGCATTTACATCAGGTCTGGGGTTTTTTGATTGTTTGTTTGTTTTTTCCTGTGCCTGCAATAGTCAGTAATATTTGCATATCTGAGAGGCATATTGCAAATCTGTATTGAATTAATATTGATAATGGCCTTGCATGGATGCCCAAACAAAGAACGGTAATGACCCCTGCCCCTCAGCTTGTCATAGATGCCAAGGACAATCTTGGTCCTTGTGTCTCTGGTGCTTAGGAAATTATAGAAGTTAGCAAGAAGAGCTAGAAAATATATGGTAAGGTTAGGAGCAGTTGGCTTTGGCCCATGGAAAAAAAAATGCATCTACACTGTGGGAAAGGGTAGAGCAAGAGCTGCTCAGGTTTGTGTTCCCCCAGAGCTCTTGTGTGGTACATGTGGCAGAGGGAAGCTGCTGATGCACAGATCCACAAATGGGAAGAAGTTTAGAGCCATTGGGGTAAACTACTCTGAAGCCCAGATTCCTGAGTGGAAAGAGTCTGCTTAACAACGAGCTGGGAGCCAGTGAGGTATGGGCAACAGCCATGCAAACGTGCAGATCAGCCCTGGGGAAATTCTCAGATGCTGGAAGGTAACACTCCCACATGGCTTAACTGTCACAGGGACTGTTCCTTTTTGCCTGTTTGTTTACAGCCTTAAGCTCAGATCTTGCATCTTTGCTCTTTCACTGAGCGATATTTAATTTATGTTTCTGTTTATCTTCCATGTGAATGCTAATTGTCCACATCGCTAATTTGCGTCATTTAATGGTCCCTTCATACAGGGGGATGGTGGGGAGCCAGGGCATCAGATCTTTCCTCTCCCCTAAGAACTGCTAGGCATGTGTTATGAATTAGATTTGACAGGTCTGCAGCATTGTAGGTTTCAAGCTTCAAGAGTCCTCTCTGCATGGGCTTGGGGCTTGAGGGGGGGCCAAGAGGGAGGGAAGGTGAGGAGATGTTAATCCAAACAGCTAATCCACAACCCAATGTACAGGAGGACCAGAGATAATGGTATAGAGTAGGACCTGGTTATTTGCTTAGCAGTGTGTCAGAGATATGAACAGCCTGATTTAGAAAAGGCAAGGGAAATTCAAACCAGCCATTTGAAATTTGCCATGCAGTAGGAGGTGAGCACTGGGTCAGTAAAGTTCAGGCGGGCAGCTGCAGCATAAACTTCCTTCCTTTGTACCAGTGACTCCTCTTCAGCTTCCACTCCTTGCAGATCCTGTGGTAACAGCAGCTGTCGTGATGCAGGAGGGAGCAGAGCTTCTGCACAATTCAGCTATTGATGCCCTTCATGGTACCAGCTCAAGAGCTGAAAGCCTCTTGTCTTTCTGGACACTCAGTCCTCTTTCTCCTCTTCTCATGCACAGACCAATTTGAGTAGGTCAGAAAATTATCTAGAGATTGGAAAAGAGATGTAGATAGGAGGAACCTACTTAAAATCACTGAATAGGTGTGTATCTAAGAACACCCAAGTCACCTCCTTGGCACATCTCACTGTCCTTGACTGTTGTAGAAGGTTTGTTTATTTATCTCTCTTTACATCTCTCTCTTTCCGTCCTTCTTCCTCACCACTAGATTACCCACTGCAACCCGAAGACAGTTCGGCCCTTTTCTGTGGTCTTTGTCTTTCCTAAAACACCTTAGTCTGATCTTTGTTTGAGCTTTAATTGCTTTGTTTGTATGCTTTATCTAGCCCTTTGACACAGCCCTTCCTTATTGTCTAGTCTTGCCTCTGCCTACAAGTGCATTTATTTTTGACCTACTCTCTGATGTTTTTACTTGAGTATGGAACTGTAAAAAGGGAATTATATAAAACTCTTTAAAAAGTCAACTTCCTCCTTCCTCAACTCCACTGATAAAATTAAATGATCCCATACCATTCTCAGACTTTTTCTCTGCTGACTTTTCCTCTACATGTTGGCACTGAGAGCATGAGATTTGTGAGCTCAGGGTGCATCCAAGCCTGCCACAAAACATCTGCTCTTTTATTCCATCTCACTCCATGGGTACAGGCCAGCTCTGGGAGCAGCTGGTGCTCACAAATTTTGAGACAATTCTGATAAAGAAATTGCATTAGACTTCTATCTACTCAAATGTGTCCGTGAATGAGCGTACTAGTATAAATGCTCTTCCTTAATTCCTGGGAGAAGAGAATACTGTGTCTACATGGAGAAAAACTTCTTTCCTTTAAAGGGGAAGAGTTTTCAGTGGCATTTTGCTATGTGAAACGTTGGTTGCAGGCAGCTGTGCAGTAAACAACAACTGAACAGGATCTTATGCCCACAAGCGTAAGACAGTCCTAAATAAAGTACATTGTGCAGGCTGTTGCTGGCCTTGCTGCCGAGTGCAGTTTGGTCTGTCCTGGAATACATGTAGTTAATGAGAACGCAGTCCTGTGCCCTCCTGCCCCTCTGTTAGCTTGAGCATCTGACCTGCAAAACCATCTGTGTACGTTATTTTGTGGCATCAGCCTGTTGTGCCCAGTTCCATCACAGATTTTATTATGTGGATAAATCTCTGCTGGAGGGACCAGCCAAAGTTGTTTGTGTACTCTAAGCATAATTGGATACCCAGTCCCCAGAGATAAAAAATTAATGTGCTAACCTCAGTGTGCCTCCAAGCTGTCCTCCAGCTCCCCCACACAGTCATCTTTGAAACATTTTTATTTCCATCCAGGCAGGGGGCTGGCCATGAATAAATGACGAGAGTCAGCCCCTCAGTTGGAGGTGAGCTGTTTGTTCCTCTCCACAAGCAGCATCAATTTGAAAAGCTACATCAGGCCTACTTTTTCCCTGCATCAGTGCTGATCCTTGCTGGGGCCATGGTAGGAGCTACTTCTGAATGCAAGGATGCATCAATGCCCACCTTGCAACAAGATACCCTGCGGCAGGTGCTTTTCAGTGAAAATATGTACATTACCTTGAGTTGACTTATTAATTTAATCTGTTTGAGTTTTCTCTCTTTTCAGAGCTTGTTTTCATAAGGAAAAAGACTCAAAATACTAAAAGAAATGTTAGTGACTGGAGAGTTTGGAACTGTGTTTGCAGCTGTAAATTACTCAGACTTTTGTGCAAGTATTTTGGGATGCCAAGGAAAAAAATAGATCAGTTTGTTTAGTGTTATGAAATAGTGGAAAATCCCAAACTTGTCTCCCATGTACAGGGACCTATAGGACTTTTTGTTGTTTTGTTTGGAGTCTCGGTGTAGGTTTTTTGTTATCTTGATGTTTCTTTTATGTAGTGCCTGGACAGGGACTAAAATTAAAATGTTGCTTTTGATACACAACTGTCATTGAAGAGAAGCACTGAGTTCTTCTCAGTAGTTCCTGGTAAATATTTTCAATCTGACTAATTAGTTTTTGAAAACCATGTGTTGCTTCAACAGCACATCAGCTCTTGAGACGGAATGGTATAATTTATGTATTTATATTTTTTTTTCCCTTTTCCACTATCTCCTTGCTTTTTCTGCTTTTTTTTTTTCTCCTCCATGTCAAATTTTAAGCAACTGGAAAACAAATTCTTTGGGCTGAATTTGAACTGAATAGATGCTCTATGCCTTCTCACACTCCTCCAGTGAGTAACTTCCAGATCGAAAGCCTACAAGATGGTGCAGGGACCCAATTCAGGACGCTGGCTACTCTCACTTGAATACTGAGTGATGCTGCCGGACCAGGCTGTATAATGGCATTATAATCCCTCCTTGAG